TTGTCTGTCAGCATGCATTTAATAACTGGAGGATGGCTGGATGGATTTTTATGAAATTTTTGTTTGGACGTTATGCCGCTGGAGAGTACTTAAAACGCACATTTTTTTAATTTCCTATTTTTGTATACAATGTTTACAAGACCCCAACAGTGGACAAAATCCTGAGCCGATTAAATCCATTTCCCACCCTTTTTACAAGGTATGGATTATTTTAAAGTTGTCTCTACCCTTCAGTTTTTCAGGATGCAATTGTGTATGTGTGTCTCAGTTGTCCGATGCATTTTCCATGCCCTGTCAAGCTCTTCCATCGTGAATAGAAATACGTCGTCTATTATTTAAAGTATCGCTTAATTTTTTAGTGAGTAAACAAGACATTCACAGTGAATTAACAGTTTGAATACCACCTAAAACATGAACCCTGTCCTTAAGTGTAGTGAATACGTAAAGGATGAACAACAGCAGGTCATTAGTATCTTTGTAGGCAATATTTCTATTATATGAAATTAAATACTTGAGTAATTTGAAGAGGGGTTTAGAGGAAGGATTTTATGTAGTATAATCTCTATATCTTGGTTGACGAACTCTGGAAGTTTTCCTTAGTTTAAGGTAATAGCTACTGTGTAGCCCATGTACAAATTATGGACTTTGTATTAAGACTCAGCTATTCAAAATTTAATTAAACCTCGTTCTTGTGTCCCTCTGGCTGGTTGCTCATTCTGTGTATCCACTTTTCTGGTCTTTCTCTGCTGCTGCTCTGTAGGGTGTGTCGTTCTGTAGCTGCAGCGATCAGAGACGTCAGTACGAACGCGTTTTCAGCAACACAATTTCCTAATGATGCTATTGCCGCTTAAAAGATCCATTCAGGCCTGTTAAAGAAAGAAACCTAAACGTGTGAAAGACATACGATTTTTTAGTCACAAAACTTGGAAGAGCTAGGCGTCGATGGTAGGATAATATTAAAATATGTCTTGAAGTAGGGACTGAGGGTGTGAAATGGATTTAACTGGCAGATGATGGGGCTAATGGCGGGTTTTTGAGAACCCGGTACCTTTGGGTGTGTAATAGGCGGGGAATTACTAGATCAGCTAAGGAACTACTGGTTTGTCAAGGAGTTAGTTACACCCAACTTTCTTTTTTTAACACTAAGCGATGTCCCGGGTTAAAAAAAAATTGGAATTCATTCCGTTGACTGGCAGAACATGTTTTATGTGCGTGGGGAGTGCCCAGTGGAAGAAGGATTGGTGGTCAGTAGATCGATGCGGGATGACGATAAACACGGGTTCATACAGACAGTCAAGACGCGCGTTGATACTCAATTCAGTTGTACGTGAAATATGTTAATGCTTGGAAAACTAATTTGGAAACTTTTTCCACATGCACATTGTGGGTAGGCTGTGTCCGTCCGCCAGAACTACTGAGATTTTAGTGAAATATCGTATTCATTTAAAGCTGTCACTCGAATTTGCTGTCGGTTCTTATTGGTGAAATACTGACGTGTGTGGACTGTAGGCTTTACGCGCGAATGGAACTCGTACATTTTCTTAAAAATTATTTATCTTACAGAAATTGGTATAGGCTGAATATAAATCTTGTTAAGATCTACAACCATTATTTTTACTTTTTTCGGTGTGGTGAATATTTAACGGAATGCAATAACAAAATAATATCAGACTTTGCACTTTAGTTCAGCTAACTTTGCAAAATACCTCTGTATCAGAGATTATCATTTGTGTGCTGAATTTCTGAGGATCTGGTAGGATGCTTTCTTCTGATTCATTTCGTGATTGTAGATGGCTGTGGCTTTTGGATCGTTGATTACTGCTATATCAACTGTTGCTGTTACGTGGGTCGGGACTCATGAGAAAGGAAGTGGTCGTTACATATTTTAAGACACTGTCTGAACATTTAACTTGGAGGGACATAGTAGCACCACGATAATCTAACCCGGCCAGGAACTGAACCGGGTATCTTCCGAATGTGTCAGAAGTATTGTTACTTTATCAACTCGCTCGGTTATTCATGTGGCTACTCTTCAGAAGATGAATTATTTCACTTTATTGGAATAAATAACGAAAAGAAACTTACACAGCCAATACGTGGTTTACATTAACAACGTACAAGTCCATATCAAAACAGATACTGTACCAAAGTGACATTGTATATGCTACAGAACTACAAAAAATATTGTCTTGTTGACAGAGATTCATAAGAATATAGTTATGATTTCTCGTAGCAACTAGCATAAGCCATTGATCTTATTACTAGAGTACACGTATGGGAGATGAGCGTGTAACTGCTGTAGAAATTAATTGTCCCTTACACATAGCTACTTACTAGGACCTTTGTCTGTATATTATTATTGTCTTACAAGTCTATGATACATTTCTTTATATCAGTTACAATATTTATTGATAAAAAGTGCTAGCTACAATGACTTAGCATTTTAAATTACTTCGCCAATAACGAAAATAGTTTATTACTATTGGTTACATCGAGATGGGATTTGCCATAAAATCATTTTTATTTAGGTAGTTCAAGGTATTTCTTTGCTACGGTTAAAAATGTAACTCTTCGGAAGAAATTCGTGTCCCTTTGTATAAGTTTCATATTATTGTCATTTTAATTAAAACTTTGATTTACTATTCAATAACTGGAGGCTTCTTGTATTCTTCTGAGCATTGTAAAATCAATATATTATACATTAAATGGAAAATCTTTAGCGATAAATTCGCAGTAATAACTTGTGTAGTTTATAAATTGTGAGCGTTTTATCATCTATTTACTTGTGTTACATTATCAGGGGTGGGAAAACTATTAGATAACCGGTCATATCGAACATGCCCGAAGTTTTGCTTCCTTGGGCAGAGAAACCACAAAACAAATGCAATGCATATTGGTGTTTTTACATGTCTATACTAAGTTGCTTTTTTCATAATGTTTTAACGAAAAATGCCTTTGTTGACAGTCAAATTCGTATGAGAAATTGTAATCGTCCCGTAGTTTTCACACCCCTGTTCCTGATTAATCTATTGGCCTATTTGGTGTAACAGAATATAGAATTTTGTGGAAGTTTTTAGAATTACAGGCTGTTCTACAGGCACGTTGTTAAGCTTTGACGTTTTACTTTTTTTTCTATCTATAAGCCTTCTACTTGATGGTTGCGAACTTTTCTGTGTATGTCTCTTAGAAAAGTTTTCAGTAAGTATATTATGCTTAATAAGAATTATTGTCGTATTTATAACATTATACCGTGTTTACCCGCACAATTGTTATCAGTTTTAAACCTTCGCGCAGGCTTACTTAAAACAATTTTTAAACAGATACGAGGCCACACGAAAGGCCTGTTCTATTTAGCGTTGTCTGGCGTGAAGCCGGAACATTGGCCTCCCGCGTACGGGCCGAAGACAGTCTTTTTAAGAATTTGTAGTTCTATGAAAGATTTTTCTTATAATTTTAATTAACCTTCGTGTTTAGTACATTTTTTCCTGTCGTTAAATACATGATACTGAGTTGGATGTCAACCTAATTTAATAGCTTTCTGATCATTTTACTCAACGAAATTCCTGTACGTATCACATAATCATTCAAAAATAGGTCTACTTATGCTTGTTAATACGGTATATGTTAGGTGGTTTACAGCCACAGTAAAATACTTAAAATCGAATACAATTTCGATTGCAGTTTCTATCAATAGCGATTGTTAACGTTATAAATATTTTTGACGGGCATATAAATCCGTTTTTGAATGTAGCTGAGTTGCTTTTCTATTGTTTTTAAGCTACTGAATTTATTATAAACAACACTTTCGAAATTACATGTTGTTTAAAATGGATTAAAAGTTTATTTTAATTTGTGCGAATATTTGGTGTATAATTGTCGGACTGTTTGCTTCTAAAATGGAAATCAGTATTTTAAAGCGACAAATATTGAACGTGTCTGATGTTTAATGAGCATTTATGACGATATAAATTGTTTCGTGATGAAATGAGAAGCTGGGTTCTGTACTGGAATGTGCGATGTTTCTCTAAGATAATTATTTTGGTTTTTGGTCATTTTCACTTGCGTGTTGTATCTTTTTGTCACTTATTTCTAAGATATTCTGTTTTGTTATGGTGTATCATCCATGCGAATTATAATCAGATTTGAGTATTAGTTCTGCATTCCTGTCCAACTACTTTTGCCATCAGCAGAGTTGTGTTATGAAATTTGGTATTATTTTTGGATGATATGTGACCTTGGAAAATTCTTCCTCTTAAAGTTGTTATTGTTTTTGTTCAACAGTTTAGTCATAAATAATTAGGCTTTACGTTTCTGTTACATTTCTTAAACAGTAGATTTTTTAATAGAATCAGTTGTTCACAAATTACTTTTTAGGAAGAACATGCGTGGAGAAATTTTATATCAGTGTTTTGATTGTGATTTATTGTTTCTTGAGTCACTTCAGTTGCCAAGAAACGTGTACTGTGATCAGACCGTGTTAGTAAGGAATGGTCGTTGGGTCGAACTGGTATAGTACTGTAATAATTTTCGGGTGTATTGTTAGCCTTGCAACCTTTGATGGTTGGTACTAGTGTAGGGACTTACCCTAACAATATACTGCATTATGGAGCTTGTAGTTTCATTACTTCGTTACCACAGAAGCTTTGTCCAGTTCATATCCCATGATCACATCTTTATAACAAAAGTATGGAGCATCGGTCTATGACACGTGTTTTGTCTCGTTTTAGAATGCTGTGTATCTCCGTCTAGTATGGGTAGCCAATTTTGAAATTCAGTATTTTAAATTCAAAATCTAAGAAATGAATGAAGGTCATCATTATGATTAAATAGTTAAATATGAGAACTAGTACGTGGTATGAGAAATCTCAAATGGCGTGCTTTTGTACCTGCCAGGCGCCTTCATTGTGATACATCATGAATGCTTTTCGTTTTCACTCTCAACCATCAAAATTATATTTACGAACCCTATATTTGAATGTCCTTGACAGTAGCAACAAAATATCGGAAAATATTTTTTAACATTTCTGTATCCTGTTTGCTTTTTCATGTGGCGTTATTATTTATTATTGTCTTCTAAATTGACGTAAAATATTTATGAGAAATTAATGTGGAAATTACCATTTATATAAAAAAATTTGAACACTTGGTACTATATGTTACTGGCCAATAAATGTTATCCTATGTCTACACTGAATAACAGGTCTAACGGATTTGCAATTGTCATTTCGTCTCATGCGGTCTATTTGTTACAGTATAAAATTAATGTTTTACACTTTGTGCATGAACTGGGCTTATTTGCGTCACCGTGATGCTTCCTGTTATATGTCATAAAATCTAAAATATTAATGCATCAGTTCTAGCTCTACGTGCCAGCCGACGCTTGACTGGTGCTGCTGTAACGTCTAGTACGAGAACCGAACTGATTTTACTGTCAGCAGAAACTGACCGAGCCGCGAGCCCGTGTTATTGTCATTAATGTTGAACTGCCATACAGACGCTTGAACATCGCATGTTTCTCCATGGAGACAAAAGTTACGACATGGAAATGTAAAAAATCCTGTTATTGAGATTTCGAAGTTTCATCGGCGGTGATACTAAGGATTCTGGTCTTCCAGGTTGCGATACTGCGTTTTTAGATAACACGGTAAATTCTGGGATAGAGCCTTTAAATAGCTAACGAAATTCCTACTGTCGCTTTGCACTTCCTGACGCCCCCCAAATTTTGTAGCCTCATTGGCGATGGAGAATGCTCTTCAAGTTATGAAATTATTTCTGGCAATATATGACTAGTGTAGGCCTGTTTGTTCGAATTTGTTGAAAACAGGAGAAATTTTTACTGTTGGATAAATTTCAGCGTATATTCGAGACTGCAGTGGATTTGGTTTTCCACTGAGCGTTACGAACACTCTGAATTGTCTGTTGTGTAATTGTTCGTGAAGCTTCCCGTCTATATACACGACTGAAAATCCCATACGTTGGAAGTTGCGGCAATTCTGTTCAGTCCGCTAAATAAAGATTCTAATCGATTCTCTGGTGAACTTTTGTCTCCATTGAGCATTGATTTGCATTGTTGTGACAGTGATAAGGCATATCATTTAGTTACAGATTAGAATACAGATTCCGTGTTCGTAGAAAGCCCGTGGCTAGAGTGTTGCATCACTTTTTTTACAGGCTGTCTTACGTTAACGCTACAAACGGTACGATACTTGATATTGCTTTTTTAATTACGCCTTATTAGTGAACAAGATGGATGAATGTTGACCTAGAAACATAGATGTATCTACACAGAAAACGTATTCTGTGAACAGAAGTGTATACTATACCGGATGTTTCAGAACATCGTATGAATTGAGGTAACATTTCGGGAAGGGCATTTATGATTAAAGAAAACGCCATTATTTAGCGCACCAAGACAGAGCATAAAACTAGTAAGTTAGTCTGAAACTTCTTAAATAAATCTCGATAGGATTCATTAACATAATAGAGGAAATATTTGGAATAGAAAAATGCCCAAATTGCGAAAAGAAATTTAGCAACCGTGTAGTTCAGCCATTGGTGACTAAACGGACCAAGTGAGTGCAGTTTTGAATGGTGATGGCCTACATCGACACATAAATGTATTCTATTGAATATGTATGCCAATTGACACCCCTGTTTTAAACTACTGTGCTCCGAAATTAATACCGTTCGTATTTCTATTAACCTCTTACGTAAATACTGAAGTTAATACAGTGATGCATTTGTAGCCATTGGGTTACATCAGAGTGCCCTTCGTTTTATCACGAACATTCAACTACTTTTTCTTGTCAGAATCTGGCAATGAAATTAAGAGTAAGAGACTTATATTAAGGAAGTATAAATATAATGATAATGTTCGTAGAAGAACTGCGTTGGAGTTTGTGTGGATGGAAAGTTTTAGGAGTACAGACCAGTGGACAGTAGGCAGTAACAGCATTTTCATAAGTAGG